TACATTTACTCAAAAGAAGCCATAAGCATCAGTTCTATGTGATGATTGGACCGATTTGAAATCCACATCTTTGCTTGGCTGCTTCTCCTGCCCTATCCTGCTTCCCTCCTCCTTTACAGATTTCACTTGGGGGCTATCTCTCAATAAATCACTTCCATGAGGTTCCCTCTCTCAGGCTTGACTTCTAGGAATTCTCAAGCATTGCCTTCTTTTCAGAGTTTCTTGTTTGGAGATGACGCCTGAGTTGCCTCAAAGGAGCAGCTCTCAGCCTGGTCTTCCACAAGGGAGGGATGGAATGCAGCTTTTTAGGTTCTGGAGCCTCTTACCACCTTAGATAAATGACTTGGCTTCATTTTCTTCATCTGTGAAAAGTGGTAATAATATTGACATTGCATGATTGATGGAATAATGTGAGCAGGTTATCTGGTACTTGGAAAACCTCCCTAAACTATGTGACCTTGTTCTCTAAATGGAAACAATGGCTACAGTTCTGTAGGTTTTAATTTCTGATCATTTTCACTTCCTTTGTCCTATCTCCACAATCTGCTGACATAAGGGGATATGTTTCCCATGAAATCAGTGGAGAACAGGGGGACTGGAATATCACTTCGACCCCTCTCTCTTGCCTTTTCTTCCCCAAGTTGGGAGAGCTTCTCAACTTTAGCAAAATCCATTTGGCACCAGTAAGCAAGGCAGGGAGGGGAGCCATACAGCAGAGGGGAACTGTGGACCTAACTCCTTCTTGGCTGCGTACCTTTCAGGAACATAAAATACAGACCTGCCGCAACAACTTTGCTCTGAAACACAGAGGGTGCCTGAAATGGTCCTCTTAAGAGCCAACTGGCTCCACCCAATGTAGTACAGGGTAAGTTTCATAAAGACTGAGCAGCTAGCCTGGGCAATGTAGCAAGATCTCCTCTCTAAAAATAAAAATTTAAAAAAATTAGCTGGGGGCCGGGCGTGGTGGCTCACGCCTGTAATCCCAGCACTTTGGGAGGTCGAGGCAGGAGGATCACGAGGTCAAGAGATCGAGACCATCTGGCCAACATGGTGAAACCCTGTCTCTACTAAAAGTACAAAAAATTAGCCAGGCGTGGTGGTGCATGCCTGTAGTCTCAGCTACTTGGGAGGCTAGGGCAGAAGAATTGCTTGAAACCGGAAAACGGAAGTTACAGTGAATCAGGATCGCGTCATTGCACTCCAGCCTGGTGATAGAGCAAGACTCTGTCTCAAAAAAAAAAAAAAAAATTAGCTGGTTATGGTGACACATGCCCGTAGTCTCAGCTCCTCTGGAGGCTGAGGCAGGAGGATCACTTGAGCTCAGGAGTTCAGGGCAGCAGTGACCTATGTTTGCACCACTGTACTCCAGCCTGGACCACAGACTGAGACCCTGTCTCTAAAAAAAGTAAAAAAGACCAAAGCAACCTTGTGTGTTTTGATTTACAGCAATGTGTAGATATAGCATCAAAAGGGAAAAGCCCTCATATCATATTTCTCAGGGGACACTTAAGAAACTCATACCAGTGGTTGCTCCTGGAGAGGGGAGGGGCTGACAGGGGAAGAGGTGGAAGGGAGACTCACTTTTTAATATTTATCTCTTTATGTCATTTGAAATATATGCCATAAGCCTACAGTACCTATTCAAAAAATAAAATTTAGGTACAGTGAGGTGGTTTACACCTGTAATCCTAGCACTTTGGGAGGCCATCCTGGAAGGATCTTTTGAGCCTAGGAATTCAAGACCAGCTGAGCAACATGGCGAGACCCTGTTTCAACAAAAAAATTAAAAATTAGCTAGGCATGATGGCATGCGCCTGTAGTCCCAGCTACTTGGGAAGCTGAGGCAGGAGGATCGGTTGAACCTGGGAGGTTGAGGCTATAGTGAGCCAAGATCACATCATTGTACTACTGTCTGGGTGACAGTGAGACACTGTTCAAAAACAATGTTTTTAAATAAAATTTAGTTGGAAAACAATTTTTTTTTTTTTTGAGACAGAGTCTTACTCTGTCATCTAGGCTGGAGTGCAGTGGCTTGATCTCGGCTCACTGCAACCTCTGCCTCCTGGGCTCAAGCAATTCTCCTGCCTCAGCCTCCCACATACCTGGGATTACAGGTGTGTACCACCACACCCAGCTAATTTTTGTATTTTTAGTAGAGATGGGATTTCACCATGTTGGCCAGGCTGGTCTTGAACTCCTGACCTCAGGTGTTCTGCCTGCCTCGGCCTCCTAAAGTGCTGGGATTACAGGCCTGAGCCACCACGCCTGGCCGAAAAGCAAAAGTTTTTTGTCTTTATCATTCAAAGGCATCTCTTTTGTACTCCACTCTGAATTAATAAGACAGCATGAAAGTATTCAGGCAACTGAGAAGGCACTTCATTTTCAAGGTTTGTTGCAGCAAGGTGAAAATTATCTGTTGTTCCTTGAAGTTCAAAACGCAGGAGTGGCTCTGGATTTCCTGGGCCGCCTGGCAGGATACGTTTTCCAGGCAGCTGGCTTACAGGAACCTTCTCCCATTACTGAGGGTTTCCTGGGATGCCAGACACTTTATATCATCGACTCATTTCTCCTCAACTCTGTGAGGCAGATGCTAATAGTCTCTCCATGTGACAGATGAGGGAGCTGGGTCAGTGGCAGAGGATGCATTTGAAGCAAGTTTTGGCAGCTTCTGAAATCAAGCTGCTTTGGGAAAGAAAATGCCAGGGTCTGTGGGTTCTGTGTTTGCTTTCTCCACCTCTTCCCACATTTGGAACAAGCCCCGTCTCCTCTGAGGGAAGAAAAAAGGGAAGTAGGAACCGCAGAACTGGAGAGCATAGCCATGGCCAGGGACTGAAGCTTCTGGACACAACACAGTGGGATTTTTTTTTTTTTTTTTTTTTTTTTAAGACAGAGTTTCGTTCTTGTTACCCAGGCTGGAGTGCAATGGCGTGATCTCGGCTCACCGCAACCTCCGCCTCCTGGGTTCAGGCAATTCTCCTGCCTCAGCCTCCTGAGGAGCTGGGATTACAGGCACGCGCCACCATGCCCAGCTAATTTTTTGTAGTTTTAGTAGAGAC